AATGTAGTTGTTTCCCCATCTCTTTGCACCCTAGTCTGCGAAAAATTATCTTCCAGGATAGCGGTCCCTGGTTTCAAAAGGGTTGGGGGCTTCTAATTTAGATCTAAAATGTCCCCCAAAAATCTCTTGTTTGAAGGTGGGGATTGATCAAAAGGGGTTTGTTAAGGAGAGTGTAACCTGTATTCTTTTCTCTGGCTCCACTCTTCTTTCTATGCTCTTGCCTTGGAGTCAGCCAACCATGGAATGAATCCATTAAAACCATGACCAGAAATAAACCTCTTCTCTTTTAAGTTTCAGGTGTCAAATATTTTATCTCTGTGTTGGGAAATGGAGTAATACAGAATTAGTGCCAGGAATGGGATTAGAACTAGCTTCGGTGACTACATCTGATCATGTAGTTCAGATGCCCCTGGAACTAGTTTGTGGGTGAAGTTTGGAAAGGTTTGGAGATGCAGGCTAAAGAAGCCACAGACTGCTGTAAATAGAACTTGATTAGTGATTCTGGTGGGAGCTCAGAAGGCCAGGATCTAGTAGGAATGTAGACAGTAAAGGCCAGGCTCAGAAAGTTTCAGTTGGAACAAGAATTCCATTGGAAACTGGACTAGAGGCCATGGGTGTTACATTCTGGCAAGGAATTTGTCTGCATTTTATCCATACACTGAGACTTTGCAAGAGGCTCAGATTAAGGGCAGTGGACTAATTCATCTCACAGAAGGAAATGTCAAGACAGCCCAACATTCAGGCTATGGCTATGGATACAGTTGGCTGCTTTTAGCCACATATGTACTGAAAACAAGGAACAAAAAGCAGACCTGAAGAATGTGAAAATTATACAACTTGGCCAGAAAGGAAGCACCTGTAAAGCGGAGGCAAAGAAAAACTTAGTCACTGAAAAGATATGCACTAAAAAGAAGCCAAGTACTTTGCATCAGGACAATAGAAAATGTCCAGACTTTTAGGCTCGAGAGTGCAAAAAAGGTGAATACCTTAAAAAAACTTTACCTGGGCACCATGCTTATTAAAGGCTACCCAGGTAAGTATTTCCTTGAGTTCAGCTATCCGAGCACTTAGAAACAGCTGCACCCATGACCCATATGGCCAGTTTCCTATTCACACTAACAGCAAACTTTGGCATCATTCACATGGTGCAGTTTTTCAAGTATGCAGCATACAAGACTTAAGGGGACATGGAAGTTTCTACCCAGATTTTAGAAGGCCCAGGAGTCTAGGTAAAAATTTGTGATAGGGTCATATTCTCTACCAGGAGCCCTTGACGTGGCAATGTATGAATCTGTGAGAATGAAACAAAAAGAGCATTGGAGATCACAGGAAGTTAGATACCAAGAACACGTGAAATATCTGCAGAGAAAGGATACAGGTAGTGAGCAAAGCCCACCCAACAGAGAGGCCACGTTAACTGGCAATGCCATAGGAATGAGGCTGTCCGAGTCTTTGGAGCTTACACTGCACTACAAGCTGTCCTGGGTGATGGATATGGAGCTACAGGATTTAATATTTGTCCCACTAGTTTTCAGTCTTGCTTTAGTCAGCTTTTGTGGCATGTTCCTATTTCTTCCTTCTGGAGTGGGAATATTAACCCTATGCCACTATTCACTGGAAGTGTTTCACTTGCTGTTTGATTTTCTCCAGGATTTCATGGCTAAGCATTTGCTTTGAATCTCAGAGGAGATTTTGTACTTGGACTTTTCAGCAATGCTGAACCATTTAAGGCTTTTATGACTCAGAAATGAAGTGAATGCATTTTGCATCATGAGGTGGACATGAGCCTTTTGGGGACCGAGAGCACAATGTTATGATTTAGGTATAAAAATGCCTCCCATAAGTCCTGAGTTCAGAGGTGGGGCCCATTTGGAGGGATCTGGTCATGAGGAATTGACCTAGAAGGGTATATTCTTATCCCTAACTCCTCCTTTAGTTCTGAGCTTCCTGGCTGCCGTGGGACGTGCAGCATTATTCTGCTGCACCCTCCCACCATGCCATTTGCTGTTGTTGTTTTTGAGACAGGGTCACTATGTAGTTCAGGCTGACCCTGAACTCACTATGTAGCCCAGTGATCCTCCTGCCTCAGTCTCTCAAATGCTGGAATTACAGGCACTCACCACCAAATCTGGCCACCATGCCATTTCTGCCTTGGAATCACCCAATCATGAATTGAACTCACTGCAAACTCTGAATCAAATAAATCTCTCCTCCTTTAACTTGTGGGTATCTGGTATTTTTTTCCAAGAATGGGAAAATGGCTAGTATAATCATCTGTAAATGATAATGCTCAAATGACATAATATCTTTGAAGTGAGACTGTAAATGGTACACATTAAGAGTACCCATAGGATCATGATGTGTTATTAGTGTTACACACGCCTGTCACACACCTAGTTCCACCCACCCAAGCATCCTGACTCTGTTGATGGGCACTGAGACACAAGTGAGACTCGCATACCTTAATATTTCCATTATATGTGTCACGGTAAGGCACAACTTGAAATCGGGAGTCTTGGTGGCTGATTTCTGTGGTCAGCTGGTGGATAACTTTCTGTACCTCCTCCACAGTCTGGGCAATCCGCTGGTGCCTGAAGTCCACCTAGATGTGAGGAGATCAGCAAGGTGGTTATTTCCCATGGGAGCCCTGAGGCACTGGCATAGGTAACATGATGAGGACATAGAAGCGATAAAGTTCAGAATAACAATGTTTTCCACCCAAGATTCTAGGGGACATGAATCTGTGGCCAACTAACATGATACCTGTCAGTGCCTCAGCGTCCTTTTCTGAAAGTGTACATTCTTACAGTGTTTGCCAAGTGCCTACTATGTGGTAGGCACCAACCCAGCTGCTGGGACACAACAGTGATCAAGATAACAGCAGACAAGATAGAGATACGTGCACTTCTCTTAAATATATAGGGTGTGGGGGCACAGTGTGCACGTTATACAGTATCAGGTTTGATAAGCGTCATGAAGAAAAATAAATTAGGACAAAGAAGTAGGGAATAAAAGAGCTACTATGTTACATGAAGTACCCAGGGAGAGCTTCTCTGAAGAAGAGACACTTGGGTGAGTCAGGCAGACAGCTTGAGAAAGCAGATTCCAAGACCCCTAACCCGGGAGCAGCATGGCAAGGCTTAAGGGCCAAAGAGCTCCATGCTTGGAGCTGAGAAAGAACAAGGAACAGTGATAAGATAAAGGGCCACATGAGCACAAAAGGCTCTGTGAACCATTCTGAGACCAGAGCAGCATGATAATGCCAGCTCTTCCTTGTTTGGTAAATCTGAAAGGGTTTAGTGGGTGTAAACCCCCAAGCGGATTGCTTCTCACTTACATCATCATTGGGCAATGGTTCCCTTCAGCTCTGAATTCACTCCTCCTGCTGCTAGACCACTGATGGCCAACCTTTTAAAGCTTTCAGTAATAACAAACAGCCCACTGCAGCACACACACCATAGGCTCTCCATGACTGTGCTAGACCCTGAAGGATAAGCTTGTATCTACGTTTCTTCAGGCTGCCATGAGTCACCAAGAACTGGAAAATTCCTATAGAAAATGGAACATCAGTAAGATGACTAAACTATAAGGATTAAGTTTGTGGGAAACACAAAGGAACTTTTAGTAAACTCCAGGAGGGAATGCAAAATCCAAATGAAAGAAGAAATGGAAAAAGTCTTCACATTTCTTCTGAGTTCAGGGGGCTCTTTGTTACCTTCCTCAGGAGGAACCTGTAGGCTCTTGGGTCTCCTTCAGCCAGGGGATGACTTTAAGCAAAACATGGTATAATGAAATGCAATACCTACCAATGACTTTTACATTTTTTCTGAGTTTTGTTTAATAGCTATTTCTATGTATTCTTGAGTAGTTTTGAGACACCCATAAACTGGTCAAAATAGCAAGGAAAAAAGCAAAGTCCAAGTCAGAGAGATTTGTTTCCCATATCATCAATGACTTCAGTTACCTGAGATTTGATACCTCCCACCATCTCTGGTACCTGTGTTACAGATCCCATCAATAAATACTTAGCACCTGCTATGTGCTGGGCATGGTTATTTGCTGGGTCACGCAAATGAGTAAGAGATACAAGCACTCCCTTCCCACGTGGGGCAGACAGATGTCAGTAAGGAAGAAAAATGTGGGGCACGGTCGCGGAGAAGCGGAACTTCAGATAGCCGATCTAGTCTGCAGGGTGATGTCAGCATATCCCCCGTACAAGACTGTCTCTGAAAAATAAGCTAATTCCATCCCCAGGCCCAGCACTGCAAAGAGCAGAAAGAAACATGAGATGAAGCCCCCGATTTTAAGGAGCTTACAACCGGAAAGACGCCATACATGTGGCATGCTATTTGCAAAAGCATGTATCTTGCCCGATCTTAAATATGGCAGTCGTGTCCAAGCCATTTTTTAACATCTTTGTTCTCCTCTAGCAGCCACTCTCTACCTCCATACCTTTAGGGCCACCTTGCTGAATTTATCATGGTAGAAGAGACCAAGGGTGCCCTCCTCGAACATTTGTAAACTATGGAGGCTCGGCATGTTTCAGATTGTACTCGCAGAAGAGAGAAGCTGACCACAGAGGGGCAAGCCGCTTGCTCCGCCAAAAATAGAGCGGGACACTTTTTGAAGTTTATAATTAAAGGCCCTCTCCAGCGAGGGACTTGCCCCGAGAGTCGTGATTCACCTTCATTTGATCTACTTTTGCTGAACATACACTTCCTGCTGGGCTCTGTGTGCCTCAAGAGATTTCCAGATAAGTTGACAAAGCAAGACTAACAAACTGGAAGTTAGAATCACCACAGCAGCCATGTGTTGGAGAGAGGTCTGCACAGGACACTGAGGGTACCTAGTAAGGAGACGCTTCTCTAGGTGGAAGCTGGGCAGCTTCCTAGAGACAGACAATACTGGGGTTGCATCTTGAAAAAGTAGTAAGAGTTAACTCGGAAGAAAGACTCCAAGGTTGTCCCAGAAAGAGAAAATGGTAGCTCTCTAGGCATGAGGAACACAACAAAGAGAATCACAATGGTTCCTAAATTGTTGTTGGAGCAGAGACTGCCTTGGTAGGGTTGGAGATTAAATGGTGAGAGGTCTTAAAAACAAACGAAGACTATTTTCACAAACATCTAAAGAGTTTTGCCACTAGGAGTGGGACTTCTGTGTCTGGCAGAGCGGTGGGTATTAAGAAGTGGATTAAGAGTTCCTGGGAGATAAGCACAACAGGACAGAGGTGAGCAGCTCCTCCCAGAAGTCTGACTGTGGAAGGAAGCACAATGAACTAAAGCAACAGGGGCACTGACCGTGTTTTCAGAATAACACACGGGTTGGGCGTGTTTAAACGCTGACAGAAAAAGGCCAGGGGAGAAGGAAAGGGCAGCAGAAGGCAAAACCACGGAGTCAAGATCTCCCAGGTGGAAGAAATCATGCAAATTCAGGAGATTTGGTGCGCAGTTCAACTGGTGTGTCAGAAGGGAAGAAGGAAAGGGTGCAGATACTGCGGAAAGGGTAGGGAATGGCGGGAGTCGGACAGGTTTACTGCCTGACATTTGTTTCCTTTGTGGGGTGGGGACAAAGCAATGCGCTGAGTAGAAGAGAAAGGTGGCAGGTAGGGGACTCCCGGTGACAGACGTTGAAACATCTTCTCAAGGAATGAAGGACTAGTTAGGCACATGAGTAAAGAGGGCCAGGCTGTAGGAAGACTCAGCTGCGGCAGGGCCCATGAGACTGTGAGATATTCTCCAGCACCTCCCAAGTTCCCTAACTCCTCCTTCTGCCACACAACACCACACTGTAAGAACAGAAGCCCCGCGGGCATTGCCCACCCTTTATCTTCTTCCTAAGTCCAAAAGGTGCCCTTAATTCAGAGTCAAGGCTTATGAAATAATGAAGCCAGAGTCTCCACTTATTTGGATGTCACCAGTCATTCCGACATCCCGCGAGGGCTCTAGCAGTGGACAGACAGTGATGCCAGCTACGGACCCTCGAGGCCAGGTGAGTGGGGAGGCCTCACTTTCTGCCATCGGCTCTGACCTTTACAGGATCCCCGAGCTATCAGCAGCCCCAGAAGGGCTTCGTGCCGGGGTCCCAAGCCCTCTCCCATGTAACTCGTGATTCTCATGGTATAAACCCCAACAAAGAGCCCCCTTTCTGTTTCCCCTGACTTATTCTGACCACGGCCCAGAGAGATAGAGCAAGAAGAGCTCAATGCCTTTAGATCACCCTGCCCGGCCCGCTGCTGCACCGATCCAGCAGTCAGGCCGCGGTGCCGACCACCTGTGTGGGCTTTGCTCTGCCCACTCGAGTCTGTGTCTGCGTGTGTCCACGTGCCTTCTTCGTCTACCCTCCCTGCTCCTCAGCCGCAACCTCTGGCCTAACGTTGCCCCAAGTCATTTGGTCCTATTAATAGCTCGAGTTCTGGAATAATTTACTGTTTCAAATATAAATGATTGGGAATTCGGGATTGTTCCCTGTAATAACACCGCTCTGACTCACTCGAATTGCAGCACGCTTCCCCTAGAGAAGGGCAAGGCGCTAAGCAGAAAGCTGGGAACGTCACTCAGGCCCGGGCACCCCTGGGGCAGGAGGGCTGTGCGAGCCCCATCTAGGATGAGTGCCAGGAAAGATGGCTGAGAAGGTCCTTCCAGGAAGAGGGCAAGCATTTCATTCCAGAATTGCCTTTAAGCTCAACAATCAGAACAAAGAAAGAAACAAACAAGGCCTTTCTCTGTCCTCCAGGTTAAAGGGATGGATATTTAAACTCAGACAGAGCCGCAGGGGAGGAGTTTGCCTTCCCCCATCACATCCCTGATGTTTCAGACTGATTCCTCAAGGAGCTGAACGCGTCGGCCCCTCCGTATTCACGGCAGAAGCTGCCAGGGACAGTGGCAGCACAGGAGCTGAGGTGACTGTGTCCTGCCTCGGTGCGGGACACTTTATCAGAGGACACTCACGTGAGCCTTCCAGCAACCCTCTGGGCAGACACTAGGATGGCTCCCATTTTCTAACGAGGAAACCGACGCTCAGAAAGTCTAAGTCATTTAGGCAATGTTGTGGAGTTACAAAACAAGGATTCACACCCAGGCGCTATCATTCTGAAGCCTGAATTTGTAACCAGTGCCTTGTTCTGCCTCCCCAAAGGAAAGTAGGGTGAGAAGGAAAGCACCTCAACTTTTGAATGGAGCTCCTTTGGCCTAGAGGACCTTTTCTGTACTTCTCCACTAAGACCCCTTTCGTCCCCCTGGCTCTGCTCCCCTGAAATACATCTGCAGCATTTCGCTCATCACAGCTGATGCCCCTCTTCCCCGGCCCTCTTCTGGGTTCTCTGCCGCAGCCTTGGATCTGCTGGAGGGCACTGGAAGCGCTTGCCTGTCTGCACAGGGGACTTTCTCCTCTTTCCTTGGGAGCTACGTCCAAGATAGGGCCAACCTCGAGACAAATACAACATTTCTCCCTCAGTGAGCAGGCCACACCTCAGCACACCACAGCACAGGTCTGGCACACAACGGCTACCCAGCGGGGTCTGCCAAGAATCACAGAGGTTCAGCAGAGAAAACTGGCCTTTGGAGTGAACAGAGGACGATGAAAGGTCAGCACCTTCACTACACAGCTGTGGGACTCCGGACAAATTATTTCACCTTTGGAAGCCTGTTTCCTCTTTTATAAAAGAGGAGGTAATATGCACATCACACTGTTGTTGATTAGAATAAATAAGACACTATCTGTCCCTCACCTTCTATGCCACTCTTGCCTTATGGTGCATGAATCCTGAAGATATTCTAACCACATGTACCACATACTCTGCAGAGGTCAAAGGGAAGAAAGGTATCCAAAACACTGGTCTTGCCTCCAGAAACTTAGTAGTAAGTCATCAACCGAAGTAATGATAGAAAATGTTTCAGGAGTCAGTATACAACAGATTCCTCCCCAAAACAACGTCAGGCGTGACGGTGAGAAAGAGTTAAGAGGCCAGGGACATTTTGTGCTGGGTGTCAGGGGAATCTGTCTTGAGAGAGTGGACTCTTGTGCTGAGTTTGAAGGGTGCAATGACCTAGGAAAGGGACATGGAGGGCTTGGGCCTGAGACCTACTCAGGCTAATGTTTTCGGGGAGATTCAGCCCCCTACAGGGATGGAGTAGGGGACACATACAGGAGGCGGAGAGGGGACTGTGTCAGAGCCCAGAGGGCTGTAACCCCTTGGGAATTGGCCAGCACATGTGCCATCTGACACTCAGCTCCAGCCCAATGTTTCTAAGCAACATATTTGGACATTTGATTGCCTGGTCCTGATTCTTTCCCCCAGAAAAGGCAAAATATGGATTTCTAGGCACAATCTATTTTGAAATGTTTCTAGAAATTTTGGGAAATTTAAAAAATGCTCAGCAGGACAAATCAAACATACACAGGTTAGATTCAACTCGGGTATCACTGTTCAGAACTTTTGCAGTTAGAAATGCAGGGAAAGCAGGGTATAGAAGGATGGGGCAGTTGAGATTACTTGAATGCCAGGATTTTAAAAAATTTAGTGTTCTCTTACAGAAATTACAGGACCCAGGGGAAGGTGCCAGACAACACCCCTCCCAATTAGAGCCCCCCCAAAGGAGAAATAAGGGAAATCGCTTTAATTCTTTACTACATGTGTTCCTCCTCATCTATCTCTTTTTAGTGGTTTTGCCTAAGAAATTCACTTTACTCTTAGTTTAATGGTTTTGTTTAAACATTCGCATACCTTAGCAGTTTCATCTGAAAGTGTAAAGGCTTAAATTAGATGATAACTAATGGCCTTTCAAATTCTAATATTCTAAAAACCTACAAAGAAGAAATTAAATTAGTTCTTGATGTATACTGAAAAATAGTGATTTTTTTTCCAAAACTAGCAGTTTCGTAGTTTTTTTAAAACTTCGTTTTAATTTCATTTGCCTTTGTTCAACGACCTCACTATGATGCTAACGTTATCACTTGCATTTTATGGAGAAAACAGCTGAGGTTCAGGTGGGTTTAAGTGACTTGCTGGGGGCCACCAAGTTTTAGTCACACAGCTAGAGCGCTGTTCTATAGTTAATGGCCACTGTGCCTCTGGGCACTAGCCCCACAAAGACCAGAATGAAGTAGGCCTGGCCCCTAAATACACCATGGGTGGTGGTCTTCGGCTTCTGAGAATCCTTTTCCATATCTTTAGAGGCAGTGATATCACTTCTAGGTCAGTGTTGCTGAGGAAGAGGATGGAGGGAGAGGAGGAATATGTGGGAAAGACCTGACTTTGTCCTTACTTTGCTTAGCAGAAGATCTCCTTTGTCCTCCTCCGTGAGGGATTTCATGGCTTCTTGGTCAATCCTGAGTAGAGCGACAGCCGCGTGGGGCTTTTTGCAGTGGAGGACCCTGGTGGGCAACTTCCCCAGCAACGACACCGTCTGGATGAAATTTCTCTGGAACTGTGTGAATGGACCAGGAACTTGTCTTTTTATTTCTTCACTCAAGTTCTCATTTGCCAATTGCAGTGGAGAATCCATCTGTTATCTATTGAGAAATTGTTTTTAAAAAGCAAAACATGAGAGTTGATGAAACTGAATTTGAATCCAATCCATTTTGTTAAATTTTTATTTACTTTTTCTTTTTTAACCCTACTTACTTCTATGGCCAAAAGGCAATTTTCTAAGTTGTACTTCTCATTCAAATACTTAAAGGTTCTGTTCAAGGGAGAAAGCCCTGTGAGTCGCATCTCCCTGTGGTTTTATCCTTTTGGGTACCTGGGAGCTCAGTATCTTCCTATCACTTTGCCCTTATTCTGTTGACAGTAAATATCCCCTGCCCTCCTAGCCAGGAAATCTCACAGTCTGAATTACCTTCTTTACATTAAACAAATAAGAAATTGCCCAACAACCAGCTTGGCAAATGAGGGTTCAGGACTTGTCAGTCAGATCAGGCACAGCAGCGGCTGGCAGTTCAGAGGCGCGCACACTGGCACACACACACACACACACACACGTACGCAAACAGGCATGCTGACGCAGGCACACCACAGAGACTGGCAGGGCAGGGACCCTGCTGCTCACCTGCTTGCTTACTGTCGAGAGCAGTTTCCCTCTTTCCACTTAGAAGCTGTCTGGAAAATAAAGTAGTGTAAACAGGCTCCTGGAAAGTTGATGAAACACTCAGATCTGGTTTTGCCAGTAAAGCTCGAGTTGGAAAACAGTTTAGGCAGTAAGATTCCCAGTCTGACTTGCTAGGGCTAGTTTTACTATAGAAAAAAAAAATCACAGCAGCTTGATTTCTCTGAAGCTGGTAAACATCACAGCCTGCTGTCAGAGGATCTAAAGACTGGACAGCTCCGCGAGTCCAGCTCACTCCAGAGCAGGGCTTCCCTGGCCAGCCACTATCTTCCCAAACTTACCTCTAAGCCTGTCTCCTGTCAGAGGATCTAAAGACTGGACAGCTCCGCGAGCCCAGCTCACTCCAGAGCAGGGCTTCCCTGGCCAGCCACTATCTTCCCAAACTTACCTCTAAGCCTGTCTCCAAGGTCTCAGCAGCTGCAGCTCCTGCGCCGAGGGCTTTGTGTGGCTTCACATTTGCATAACCTCCCAGACTCTGCCCCTGTGAAAGCTACATCAGAGCTCCCTGGCCGCGGGTGCTCCACCCACTCCTTAGTCCACAAATCCTCTCTAGCAGTCCGTAGTCTGAAAGGAATTTGGAAAGCTATAGCCTCTCCAATGAACCTCCAAGTGCTTCCCTCATGGCTGCCTTGGTTTTCCACCTGCCTCTTTATGTAATCACAGCCCTCCTCTTTTTTCAAAAAAAGTACCAAATGCTCCCAACTATTCCAAAGCTGATTCTGTTGGCTTCTCTCATCACTGGTCCTCCTGACAAACTCAGACCGGCTTTGCACAGACTTCACAAGAGCCTCCTCTCCCTCTTTGCCTACTACCATCCAGCACTCTTTCTCCATCTCAACTTCCAGCTTTCAACTCCTCAAAGCCCCATTCCACCCTACTCTTTCTTGACTTATTTTCATCCTAACTTCTGCTCTCACTGGAATCATCAACAACTGGAGAGAGTCCCTTTCAGGGAGGGGGTCTTTCCTATGGAAACAAGATTACCCCAAGCTCCTGCCACTACATGTGCAAACCTTCGCCATCTTTGCCTCCGTGGGTCCTCTCGCTTGGTCACTTTAGTGCTGCAGCTGACCAAAATGGTGACATCTGAAGTTGTCCCTCACCCTAAGAACCAGAGACACTTGTCACATGTGAGCTGGGCCACCTGAGGAGCCTGGGAGAAGAAGGAAGTGTGTGTTCAGGGCAGCACCCCATAGTCTGGTTTCACCGGGATGCACATCCCAGAAATAGGGGTGTCGTGGAGACACAGCCTAGGCCCTTACTTTTTTTTTTTTTTTTTTT